ATATATATATATATATATATATATATATATTGACTAATAAATGTATACATTTACTAAATTCTATGTTTTTATTTTAATATATGTATTTCTATAAAATAATTGACGCAAAACTGGATGAATTATTATCCAATCATTATCGATGTTTATTATATGTAGTCTCAAGTTAATAAGTTAATTTGTTTAGAATTTCGATTAGCTGAATCAGCTAACTCCTAAAATACATTACACTACTATGCTAAATTATAGCTTGCCTATGATATTCATTATTATTATACGCATCACTAAAATTGCAAAATACTAAAATCAAATTATAATCCTGTAATGTATTGTTCTATATAACTAGCATCTAAATGATATCTATATTTGCATTTTTTCTGCTTTTGTTCTCTCTGAATATGAGATTGGTGCAGAAAAATTTATTCATTATATTCAATATTTAATATATATAGAAAACATGAAAATATAAAGATATAGTGTTTCTCGGATTAGTGTAACATTCGTATCTGTATATCTGTAAAGAATTAATAATAATAGATTAAAATGAATATGATTGATATTTTATTTCATTTAGATATAATATAGTTATAAATAAGAAAAAATGAAAAAAAAGAGTAACAAATACAAAAACGAAATTATTACACGAAATTATACAATAAAATATTAAATAAAATCTATATTTATTTATAAAATTTTGTCATGATTTTTCAAATTTTTATGAGAATTTTTAAAAATTTGATTCAATGTTTAACAATATATAAAAATTTAAATTATTAATTTTTAATAAAATTTAAATATAATAAACTCTAACTTTATTTTAATTTTATTCTTGTTATTGTCAAATCAAATGATAATTAATTTTTTGATATTGAATGTCATTGTACTAATTCGATGAACACTTTACATGGCAGTGGCATATTGTTTCATGCAATAAGAAAATGTGTCTCGTTTATGAATTTATTTCGCGTTTTATAATTTTTTTTTTTTGTTAATATAACTTAACTGATAAGAATAAATGTTTTCATATTTGGATTTCTATTAAATTTTATTATTTTTTATTTATTTTATTTGTTTATTTGTATCATTAGAAAAATGTTTTCTACTATATTTCTATTATATAAGGAGAATATTTTTCTTTTGATAAAAATATTAATAAGTAAAAATATATTTTATCTGAATATTTAGTTATTTGCATAGACATTTGATGATTATGATTATATTTTTCTCGATAATAAATATATCTCTTGAGAAAAATCATATTTAATAAAAATTTTAATATTTAATAAAATAGTCAAATACTAAGTGAAATAATATATTGTAAATAATTTTTCCTTGATAAAATCGTTATCTTTGAATAAGTTATAGTTATAATTTCATAGTTTACAATATATCTTATTAAAATAGAAGTAACAAATATCTATTGTAGAAAACATTTCTTCTAACAATGAAATTTTAATAATAAAAAGTGAATTGAAAG